ATTGAGTTGCATAAGCATCAAGTTAAAAATTAAGCACCACAATGATTAAAATTACTCTCCAGTAGGAACTGTAATATTCTATTTTGGATCATGATCATGTTTTTTTTCAGAAAACTAGGTGTGCTTTCATTGCATCAGCCTCCCTAGGCTGATCAAGTACTAGTATTAAGGCACTCAAGGGACGAAACATAAATTGTAAAAAGAAAACATTTACAATACTGGAATATTTCACTTAATACAACTTAAAACAGGTATGTTTTCATTTTTAAAATCTGAACAAACATCAGTAAATTACAATTTTTAAAAATTCTGAAGATTTAAAATAAAACGAAACAAGATACTTTACTAAAGGTTGTTGGTTACAATGTACCTTAAAACATTAGCCAATCAGTGTCATTCTCCCAACCATTCTAGTAAGATTGATTAAAACAAAATTAATGTGTAATTTTCCATAGTTCACCCACATGACTTGAGATTTAAGAGATTTTGAGATCTAAAAAAAAAATCCCTTATTTAAAAAAAAAAATTATTCTATTGACCATCTATAAACAAGGTGTTAATTTTTTGGTGGTGTTAGATGCTACTTAAAGAAAAAGTCAAGGCTAACAAAATAATACTCCCAGATGAAAGAGCTTGGAAAACGTAAGAAAATGCAAATTGCATTCTCTTACATTTGTAGAGCTCTTACATTATGTTGTTTGCCACGACTTCCCCTTTAATGTTTCCTTGACACAAGTACTATGTTTACAGCGCCCTCTAGTGGTAAAGATTGAAGTTTAGCCAAATAGCTTGACAAAGCAAGGATGGCAATATGGTTTGTCATTCTGTTCCTTAAAAGTACCTTTATTCAGCTGTTTTAGACAAAATGCACACACAAAATGCTCAGGATGGAATTTCTTCTGCATAGCAGTGATGCAACGACCTGTGATTGGTTTATTACAACCAGAACACAGCGACCCACGTATGGCATGGTAGTGGATTTCACAATAGGGATGACCCTCATGGTCAAAGAAGCTACCTCCGTTGAATGGAGTACGACATTCCTGCAATAACAGACAAAATAGTTATTATTTTAAAACCGTACTCCCTTAAAATATGTAGTTGTCATGCAGAGTTGTGTTGAAGGAATGAGTTTCTTTTGTACCCCCCATCCCTAACCCTAACCGTAACACTCACTCCCAGTTATCCAATTCATTTGTATGTGCCCCCTCTAGATAACTATAGATGTCCTTAGGAGGGGCATGTACAATTAAATGGGAAGTGCTGGAGGGTAGGGTTAGGGATTGGGGGGGTACAAAAGGAACTCTTTTCGTGCTGAATACAGGTCCCATGAAACGTAAACAATGAGTATAAAAATACAGTGTTTGGTTACACAAAATCACAAGCTGCAAATATATATATAGAGAAACTAGTAGGTACAGTGAAAATACATTGTTTTGGTGAGTAACAGGTCACAAGAAAGTCATCCTAACTGTATATGCTTATCCTTATTGATTTTTAAAGCTAACTTACCGTGCAGACAAAACATTCAGGATGCCATTGAACATTCAAAGCAGAGATATAATTTTCCATGATGGCTCGATTACATCCAGCGCATTTTGGTGCAAACATATCAAAGTAATCATCACGGCAGAATGCTTTACCATCCTTCTCGTGAAAGCCTTCGTCAGCAAAGTGGCGACCACACTGTGCACAGAAAAAATGCTCTGGATGCCAAGTTTTGTCCAAAGCAGTTACACATTTCTGTGAAGAAATTAAAACACAAAAGTTTGTATAAATTGCATACGAGATGTGCAATCATTTTATCTAATGAAATACGATCATTCCTAAAACATGATAGTCCTGTTAGCCTGAATCCTGAACCCCATAAATTTTTCTGTTATTTTCCTCAAACAATGACTTTCAATAACAATAACAATAATTTTCTTGTAGCAGGAAATGATGTTACCAATAACATGTTGTTTTATTTTATTAGAGAGAAAAATAATCACACGTTTCTAATCCACGTTTCACACTTTTTGTTTTGAAATTCAACCTCACTGACGTATTTAATTCTACAGTCATGTTACCACTGTCAACACTCTCTGAATAATAGTTCGGCTGAATACAATGCTATTCTCAAAAGGAACTACTTGAGGTGGTGTACACAAGATTCTAGAGTGTCAATAGTATTTCTGATTTGGAAGTACCAGGAAGTGATCAAACAAATGATAATTTCAGACTTACTTCAAGGATGGGTCCATGGCAATATGCACAGCGTGGAGAGAACAGATTGTGATAATCCTTATCACAGAATGGTTGGCCATCCCTCTCAAAAAAGTTCTGAGTTCCTAATTCAGTCTGACAGTGAGAACAAGTAAAGTGTTCTGGATGCCAGGTTTTACCAAGTGCAGTGACAAGCTGTAAACAAACAGTGATCTTTAGTCATTTCAACATACTCCATCTGTGGTTGGGTTCAGTTGGCCACATTTCAACTTGAATAGGATTTCAGCGGAACTTGAATTCTCACGAATCAATTGATAACATAAACTGCATTTATTTGTGATCGAAACTCTTCAACGAACTGATAAATACATAAACTTGTAGAACTGACCCACAGTTGAGTACGGACTAAAAACTAGGACAGAACTACAGTTTAACTTTTAAAAGGGAAATGGAACATTACGGCGTTTTCCATGCAGACGAAGATTAACCAATCAGTGACTGCGTACTAAATCAATAATGGAATGTCAGTCAACACCTATGGCTTATTATGGTTTCAACGATACCATCTTACTTTTTAATGCATCTACGTATTCAAACCTTTGCTTCATAAAAGGTATATAATTTTAAAACAAAATATCAATCCTTTGCAGTGCATTTCTAGCCGCTGCCATCTTTGTCAAGTTTGATTGATGGATCACTGTGAAAATATTGAAAACCTTATTGTGAAAAGGTGATAAAGCATGAACTTAGACTTACCTGTCCAACAATAGGCTTGTTGCAGGCAGCACAGTGTCCCTTTGGCACAGTCTGAACACCATGTCTGTTCATATCAGTCTGTAAATGTCCAAGCATGGAATCCAGCTGACTTCCCCTAGGTTCAACTTGTTGTACAGTAGCTACAGCTGGTGACTTAGTTGACTGTTTTTGTGGTGTAGCGTAGGAGGAATCGGGGCTGACTACACTATGCTGAGGTGATGTTTGTAATGATGAACTCATCTGTAGATAAAATATGTAATCAGAAGTCATTATTATGTAATAATTATACACCACAAACTCTAAAGACACTACTGTGCAGTGTGCAAAGACATAGTAATGTGTATCACTATTGTGATAACTAGAAACAAAATCAGACAAGGTATATCAGTGAACTGCAAAACCTATCGATCCAGTATACAAGTGCAAGGAACCTTTAATAAAAATAACTGTTCTAGTGGGTTACGATATCTGGCAATATTACTTTGACATTGTCATGGTTCAAAGGATTAGTCATCTCCTCAAGTTTACTTTTCAAATGACTAAAATGAATGTGTCAATCTGAAGGATTTAAAAAATAGATTTTGCATCTCTTCCCAGTTTTTTTTTTATTCTTTTCTGTATTAAGACTATTCTAAACCACAGCAAGGAGATTCATGCTCAAAGTTTATTATTTATTAATTTTTAGAATACCTGCATTGAAGTTTGATTTGAATTGACAAAACATCCTCTGAAACTAACATTTTACCATTTTATATGTGACACACTTGACTACTACTGTAGAATACTTTATTTTCGCTGAAGGGATGATTCCGTGAAAATAAAATCCAGCAAATATACTTTTTTTCCTATATTTCACATTCAACTCATCAAAAATCAGTGAGAATAAATTCCATACAAAACACCCAAAAAGACTTTTTAGCGAAAATTAATTTCAGCAAAAATAAAGTATTCCACAGTAAGTGTATTTTCAATGTTATGAATATCTACAAACAATCATTGCTGCTGTCTCCAGACAAGGATGGTAAAAAAGGTGTATAAATCATACACAGTACACATACACAATCTCTGCATAGAATCATGACATATTCAAAACACTTTAGAAGCAAAGTGGAATATACACAAACCTTAAAGTCAGACAGGGAAGCCATTAAATCATCTAATTCTTTGGTTGCATTGGATGCACTTGCACGTGGAGCTTGATTCTGTACTATAGGTTGTGCATGTACAGGTTGTGACTGCTGGTGTTGCACTGGATGGTGGTGGGTCTGAGTCATTGTAACCACTGTTCTACCTGTATCATATGGCTGGCCAGGAGAAGATCTGACAAATTAAATATCAATAACAATTATTATTACAAAGTTTGCACTCAGACACTAAACCATCACATCGACCTCCGCTACACGTTGATACTCTCGCTGTACTGTCTTCGTGCATACTATAGGTATTCTCGTAATAACCTCATATTATGCATACTCATACAGCAGCAGGCAATTATGAATGAAAATATATCAGAAAGTATTAAAATTGATTTGATCTACAACAAGGTTTCTACTTTGTGGGTCAAAATCAATTACAGAAAGACGTATAACATTTTAATGTTTTCGTAAACCCTCAACAGAAATGAGAGAATAAACCAAAATATTGTACCAGTATTTGCTCTATTAGAAGCACACCAAAAACTGCGTTTAGTGTATACTACTGTAGAATACTTTATTTTCACTTGGAATTTATTTTCGCTGAAGGGATGCTTCAGTGAAAATAAAATCCAGCGAATATACTTTTTTTTCCTGTATTTCACATTTAACTCATGAAAAATCAGTGAAAATAAAATCCACACAAAACACCCAAAAAAACCTGTCAGTGAAAATTAATTACACCTAAAATAAATTAATTTACAGTAAATCATTAAAATAAGATTTACTAGTACTTTAAATAGAGTAACACTTTTGTAAGTAACATATCAAGTGCAAATTGTTAATATGCACTAATAAATAGAGTAAATTTGGAAACAAGAGTACATATATAACAAGCAGCCTGTCGGCTGAGATAGCTCCGCTGTTAGTAATACACATTTCAATTAAAGAACTGAAGATATCATTAAAAAATGAACACTATGTATAGTATCAAAACAATCGGACTTGCTGTTTTCAGCAAGAATTCGAAAATATCACTTTCTACCAAAAATGACAAAAATATTCATCAAAATTAGATAATTGAAGATATCATCACGAAATGAACAAATCAAAGAGAGGTTTACCTGAAGTACCTATATATGTATAGTATCAAAGCAATCAGACTTGCGTTTTTTAACAAGAAGTCGAAAATATCACTTTTTAACAAAAATATTCACCAAAATAAGAGAATTAAAGATGTAATCACAAAATGAACAAATCTTAGAGAGGTCCACATGTAGTACCTATATATGTAATATCAAAGCATTCGGACTTACGGTTTTTAACAAGAAGCCGAAAATATCACTTTTTACCAAAAATAACAAAAATATTCACCAAAATTAAAGAATTGAAGATATCATGAAATGAACAAATCTAAGAGAGGTCTACCCAAGGTACATATACACCAAGTATCAAAGCATTCAGGCTTGTAGTTTTCAAGAAGAAGTCAAAAAAGTAAAACATTGACACGGACGACGGACAATCACTCATATGACAAAGTCGACAGCGGAGCTTAAAATGGGGCACAGCAGTTTTTGATACTGTCATGTTAACAGCAGTGACTTCCTGTTATGATGCTCACTCTCCAGCATGTAGTTTTAAATAATGTATAACTTTAAAAGCAATAGAAAGAGACACATACCCATGGCCGGCATCCAGTACATCATGTGTTGGTGATGTAGGTGATACTGGTTGATTACCATTGGATTTCTTTGGTTTAGGAGCTACCACTGGTGGAGCCTTCTTTGTAGTAGTAGTAGTAGTTGTTGTTGTGTACGAGTAATTTGTATTATCATCTGAAAACCATTCAATAATTTATATTACAATGAGTTCAGTGACAGGATGGACCAACCCACCCACATAGGTACACAAAAGACTATCAGAATGAAGGTGTCATTAGACATTTCTCAACAATGAATAGTACTGTATTATGACTTGTTACATCAGCAAATTGTAAGTGCTGACTGTAGATTAAGTGCATTTTGCCACATAAATCATGCTTCATGTTTGAGCTATCGCAGTGTCAACCAGCCGAGGGGGAAACATAAGCACCTGTAAGGTTCCCACAAATTTGGTAGTGTGTGAAACTCTGGTTGTTCCGGCATCCCCAATAAGTCTATGTTGGGGGAGGGTTTATGTATAATAAGAGAGTCATAATAACATCAACTCCCATATACAGGATGTCTGCGATTTAACATTCGCTATGGTAACATCATTTATTGTAAATCAATAAGATGCTCAGCTGTACTCGCTCACCAGTAAGAATGTTACATATTATTAAACATCTGTCACCGTAACGCCATAGGTTACAGTGTGCCGTAATTTGGCGGTATTTTACGGGGTATTTTCATCCTACCATATAAGGAAATTCAAATTCCAATTATGGAATGATTACGTGTGTAAGCGTCCTTTAATAATAAAAACAAATATGGCTGCCACCAGGGTTTGACAGGACTCCACACAAAGAAGTTCACTGATTCTGCTCTAAACTTTTTGGATTTCGGCATTCCCATGATGAAAAGAAAAAGATGTATACAGACAGTACGCCGTTGCATCGACCTCAGCTGCGCGTCGGTCGATACTGCTGCTGTACTGTCTTCGTGCATACTTTGAGGTATCCTCATAATAACCTCATATTATTTGACCTTACCTTGAGGAAGCTGTGATGTGTACTGAGCTGCTTGCAGGTCTTCCAGTAAGCTATCCAACTCAGACAAATTATGATTCATTGAACTTGTCATACTCGGTGACGGTTGGTAGTTCAATTTAACTCCTGGCTTAGGAGTGCTAGTATGCTGAGGTGATGACGTGGGTAGGTAGTTTGGATTGGTTGATGGCTTAGGAGTGCTAGTATGCTGTGGTGTAGGTGGTTGAGGATTAGTTGGTTGATATATTGGTTCTTGATATACTTGGTTACGTTGATAACTAGGCTGGTATTGAGGTTCTTGCTGATAATGCTGTTGATAATGCTCTGTTTGGTAATGCTGATCCTGATATGAAGGATGTCCAGGAGATGGATTATATACCTGCAAATAAGTACAACAAATGTCATTCATAGATCATTGGAAGTAAGAGTTGCACATGATTATGACTGGGTACATTGTAGCGAGCAACAGGTAACAGACACTATGGAGGGATTTTTTTATACAAGGGAACAGGGGTGCAGCGCCCTCATGCCATGGCCATGCGCCGCCCTTACCCTGGGGAGCAGATCCTCTGGCAATCAAAAAATTCTGTTTGACCAGAGATCACATGTGGCCACAGTCGTCTTCAACTGTGACCTGTCTGGGAGTAATTTTGGCCCCAAGGAAGCCATAGAATGCTCCATTTTAACTTAGAATTATCAAAAACTCCACACCCTGGTATGGAGAACCTTATCTCCCGCACTGAATTGCAGTGCTCCATCTTTTTCTAGAAAAAACCCTGCTATGTATGGAAAGTCAACACAATAACATCTTGCCTTCTGTGCATACATGTAGGTGTTACACTACAAAACAAATAATTGAAAGACTATTAAACTGTATTATATCTACTACTTTAGAATTATACTTCTACAATGCACAGGTAACTGTAGACTGTTTTGTTAAAGCCGCTGTAAAGTTTTCAAATTTCATTATTTTGGGGACATTCTTGAGCAAAAAATTTTTGTCAGTGATTCTGAAAATCTGCAACAAAATATTCACTACTACAAAATGTCATGGTTGACTTGCAATTAAAGAACTTCATACTGATATTAAATTTCCATTGATAGAATTTCCAGATAAGTCGTACACATACTGTACTTGCTCTAAATAGAAGTACATCTCTAATAAAAGAGTATGTACGCCTCTTGTTTATCTCAGGCTCTATTACATGCACACTACACTCATATGATGTACCAGGTAAATGGTTTGTACATGAATACGAATCACACATGCATAATCTGAATAAGTAATGGCCAGACACTTTGACCACCCACCTAGTTGCAAAACATGTTTAACATAATACAGTTAGAAATGTACAGGCTAGTATGTACTTTTCAGGTTTCTATAATATAACATGCCATTTAGGGAAATATATTTTTTTAAGTGATTACGAAAGCAACATTTTATTGATCAGCAAATTTGACATTTAAAAAAATTTGACAACATAATTTGATTAAACAAAATTTACTCTTGAACATGGTTTGATCATGTCATTGCAGTTGAGATAAAACATGCACCAACAAATTTGTTCATGACAATATCATATATCAACAATATGAGAAAAATGTTAGAGATGTGGTTGTATTTCTGTTGAATAATATAAACAAACTTTCTGGAGGTACATGTAATGTAGCAACTAATGATAAATCTTGTACTTATTTTGAGGTTGGCAATGATGGAAATTTTTGCTTCAATTGAAGTGCACATCTAATTTCTTTTACATAAGCATATGTGCTTCTATGGCACTGTACCTTTACGGCAATAATGTACCTTTACAGCAATAATGTACCTTTACAGCAATAATGCACCTTTACAGCAATAATGCACCTTTACAGCAATAATGCACCTTTACAGCAATAATGCACCTTTACAGCAATAATGCACCTTTACAGCAATAATGCACCTTTACAGCAATAATGCACCTTTACAGCAATAATGCACCTTTACAGCAATAATGCACCTTTACAGCAATAATGTACCTTTACAGCAATAATGCACCTTTACAGCAATAATGCACCTTTACAGCAATAATGTACCTTTACAGCAATAATGCACCTTTACAGCAATAATGCACCTTTACAGCAATAATGCACCTTTACAGCAATAATGCACCTTTACAGCAATAATGTACCTTTACAGCAATAATGCACCTTTACAGCAATAATGCACCTTTACAGAAATAATGTACCTTTACAGCAATAATGCACCTTTACAGCAATAATGTACCTTTACAGCAATAATGTACCTTACAGCAATAATGCACCTTTACAGCAATAATGCACCTTTACAACATAATGCACCTTTACAGCAATAATGCACCTTTACAGCAATAATGTACTTTACAGCATAATG